TTGAGACACTACTCTGTGAAAACCAGGCTGCTCTAAGGCATCTCAAAGTGGGGGCCCAAAATCACTACTCACTTTTGAAATTCTTGGACAAAACTCATCCCATTGTACCTGGATATTGCACATTCCATATGCACAACAGAATGAGTTAAAGCCTGAGTTTTGGTGTCTACTCTGAACTTCTTTGCTTTTGTGGGCTTATATGTTCACAACAGGGTCTGAATATACTCCTGCTTTATCTCTCAATAATATTAAATACATTTTTTAAAATTGCAGGGATACTTGCCAACTTTTTAAAACTAAATTTGCATTTGAGTCCTTGTATCTGTTTGTTTCAGTTTTTGGCAAAAGGTTCTTATCCATTTTTTTAAGCATGCACTACCGAACCTCCATTTTCTTTGTTCATTTCCCTTCCGTTCTGACTGGCTTTCTGTGTTTAAGATTAAACCAAGAAATATTTGAACAACTGCTGTACAACCCTGGGAGACAATGGGTCTGATTAAAAATAAAAATCCAGCAAAAGGGTCACATTTCAGCCTCTGATCATACAGCTGATTTTAAAACTGAAAACACAGAGGAAAATTAACAATCTGAAAAAGATTCATACCCTTCAACTGCATACAAGCTTCTTACTCTGATTACTATCAATAGGAACAAATATAATATATGCCAATCTTCTTGAATGATGAACCATGATAGTAGAAACAGTTATAAATTTGAACATTACTGAGGAAATCACAGATGTGTTTTGGATATTAGGGCATGCATGCGTTGTACTCTGTAAGGTACAGAAAGCTACAATCTTGCTAGAACCTCTGAACCAATTATTTTAATGTGATTTTGCTTATTAAGCGTGCTAAACACATTTTGGCAGATTTACTAGATATATCCTTTGTTATGCAAATGTTTGACGTAGGCTATAGGATAACAGATGTTATGGCACCTTTTTAAACTTGAAAAACAACAAAGGAAATTGCGATACATCAATATGCTGAATGATAGTTAAATGCACAAGATCAAAGAAAATAAGAGCTAAGGCTGTCTAATGTTCCTGGATCCACCTATTTATGCTTGAGAATGTGGGTAGTGTGTAAGACTGGTTCTGGCAGAGTAGTATATAATTCCTGTGAATGTTCTGTTTAGACTACAGAATGGCAGATTCAGCTTCTGAATTCCTAAAGCTTTTGTGGGTTTAAATATGATCCTTAATGTTACTTTTAAGGCAGATTTTTGAATTTAATGTATTTCCATTCAAGGCACCGTCTCCTCCATCTTAATCCACAAAATCAAAATAATGTAGTTAGGCACCTGGAAGCAATGCTATTGCTTTTAGAGTACCTCTTTACAAGGTATATTGCTCCTTTTAAACTCTATGTATTGAACATTTAAAACAAACCTACTTATATCTCACTATTAAATCCTGTAAATTATTGAAACAAAAAGCTTGAACCTGGGGTTGAAGAAACCTTTAGATATGTGTTAAAGAAATGAAGCCAAAAACAACTCCTGCTTCTTTACTTTGCAGTAAACTAAAACTAAATATAGATCTCCCGCCCCCCCTTCCCCCCCCCAGTAAAAAAGGCTAGTGGAGATGTATCTTTATGGGGTAATACTTCCAATTAGGGAAACTTTTAAAACCATCACCCTCTTTTTGCAGAAGGATTGTGAAGTGTGTATTTTAGTGAGACAATAAAAATCTTCCTCCTCATTTAAAAACAAAAACAACACCACCTTCCCATCTCTGCCTTTCACTCTTATACAGGCCACTGAGAATCTTTCTCTCTGTTTTACACAGGCCAGCCAGCATCTCTTGCACAAGTTAGATACCAGCTCTCTTTCCCTACAGCCCCAAACACCTCCTCTGCACACCTCCCCTCACTTCCCTCTTCCATACCTCTCATTTTCTCAATCAGCACTATGGCATTTCAGAGAGCAGAACTAGAATAACACAGGAATCAAAGGGACGCTTTCAAGAATCAGGAAATCATGTGGCTCAGATAACATACTGAATAATACATAAAGTTATGCTAACCTTTTAAAGTTATTTAAGCAGATGGGCTATGTCTTTACTAACAAAAATAGTGTGTTTTTACCATGGGATAAATAACATGCAAAAGCTATCCTGCTGTAAAAACACAGTGGAGACAAGGCACTCTAGTTGTACTAGGTAAACTAGGTGTGGTCAACCATGGGCATGGGAGGGTGGGGGGTTAGTGCTGACCGAGCCTAGCTGCCTCAAAATAAAAACTACATCTGCCTTCTCTCCACTTGAGAAGTTTAAATCTTATGGAGGAGGGGAAACCAACCCCCATTGTGTCAGTGAATACAACCCCCTTCGTCCTCAAATCTGGACACTTCCTTGAGAAATAGTAACCAATTCACAAAAAAATGGGGTTGCTCTAAACCTATGATTTACTCCTAGATCTAATATTATCACTTGCAGGGGTCAGCAACATTAGCTTCCTGGAGATAGGTGCAAACACCCCCCTCCCAAATTGAAAAATGCTTAAGACATTATAGCAACTCCTAACACCACTGTATAAGTGTCTAGAATGGCCAAATCTAAAGGAACAAGATAAACTGCTACAGCTCTCTGCACAGAATTAGCACACGATTACGCTCCGTCACTGCTTTGAAATGTGCAAAGCTAATACAGACTTTTTCCTTATATGTTAAGGGACCATAAACCAGAGGTGGAGATTGAAAGGTGCTCTGTGCATTGCAAACTCGAAGAAGAGTAAGTATGCAATCAGTGAGGCCTGGTCTTCACTAACCCCCCCACTTCGGACTAAGGTACGCAAATTCAGCTACGTTAATAACGTAGCTGAATTCGAAGTACCTTAGTCCGAACTTACCGCGGTCCAGACGCGGCAGGAAGGCTCCCCCGTCAATGTTGCGTACTCCGCTCGCTGAGCTGGAGTACCAGCGTCGACGGTGAGCACTTCCGGGATCGATCCGGGGCACTTTCGGGATCGATCCGGGATCGATTTATCGCGTCTTAACCAGACACGATAAATCAAACTCAGAACATCGATTGCTTACATCCGGACCCGGATGTAAGTGTAGACGTACCCTGAGAGAAAGGAAAGACTAAGGCACTTTATATAAGAACAGCCATATTGGTTCAGACCAATAGTCCATCTAGTTCTAGTCCATATCCTGTCTTCCGACAGTGACCAATGCCAGGCATAGGCACCGACTTCCCCTCTTTCCCGTGGGTGCTCGACCACCCCCTTGGTTTCTGGCCCCACCCCTTCCCTGCCCACATTCCAACCCCTTCCCCAAAGTCCACGCCCCAACTCTGCCCCCTCCCTGCCAATATTCCAACTCCTTCCCCAAATCCCCACCCTGGCCCCGCCTCCTTCCCTGAGTGCGCCACATTCCCGCTCCTCTCCCCCCTCCCCCGAGCATGCTAACGCTGCTAAACAGCTGTTTGGCAGCGGCCAGGCGGGAAACGTTTGGGAGATAGGCGGAGGAGCAGGGACGTGGCGCATTCAGGGGAGGAGGAGAAGGAGGGGCGGGGGGGAGGGGAGCTTGGCCATCGGTAGGTGCAGAGCACCCACTAATTTTTCCCCATGGGTGCGCCAGCCCCGGAGCACCCACGGAGTTGGCGCCTATGATGCCAGGTGCTTCAGAAGGAATGAAAAGGCAATTATTGAGTGATCCATCCCCTGTTGTCTACTCTTAGATTCTGGAAATCAGAGGCCAGGGCCACCCAGAGCATGGGGTTGCATCCCTGACCATCTTGGCTAATAGCCATTGAGGGACCTATCCTCCATAAACTTTTCTAATTCCTATTTGAACGCTGTTATAATTTTGGCCTTCATATCATCTACTGGCAACAAGTTCCACAAGTGAACTATATGAAGAAGTACTGCCTTTAGTTTGCTTTAAACCTGCTGCCTCTTAATTTCATTGGATGACCCTTGGTTCTTGTGTTATGTGAAGGAGTCAATAACCTTATTCATTTTCTCCATACCAGTCATGATTTTATAGGTCTCTATCATATGCCCTCTTAGTCGTCTCTTTTCAAAGCTGAAAATTCCAACCTTTAATCCGCCATATATGGAAGCTGTTCCATACCCCCGATCCTTTTTGGTGCCCTTCACGATACCGTTTCCAATTCTAACGCATCTTTTTTTGAGATGGGCCAACCAGAACTGCACGCAGTATTCAAGGTGGGGGTAAGGTTGCCAATTCTGGTTGACCGTATTCCTGGAGGTTTTATCACGACATAATACTTTAATTAAAGATTAATCTTTAATTCCTGGAGACTCCAGGACAATCCTGGAGAGTTGGCAAGGGGGGGGGGAGAGGTACCATGGTGTTATGTAACAGATTATGATATTTTCTGTCTGTCTCTCTCGCTCTCTTTTCGGATGGTTCTGCACCGTGTTAGCTTTTTTCGACTGTCGCTGCACATTGCGCAGATGTTTCCAGAGATCTACCCACATGCACCATAATTGATTTTTACTGTTCCAAAATCTGACAGCGGAGGGAGAAGACAAATCATCCCAGCCTTTTCCATGCAGGGAGAGAAGGAAAGACAGACTCAGGCTGCACAGCAACCTGCTGCTTTGTCAGGGATGGGCCCCCATGGCCCGGGGAAGCAGCCCCAAGTTGGCCAGCTGATTCCCGCCTGGTAGGGTGACCAGATGCCCCGATTTTATAGGGACAGTCCCGCTTTGGGGCTCTTTTTCTTATATAGGCTCCTATGACCCTCCACCCCCGTCCTGATTTTTCACATCTGCTGCCTGGTCACCCTACGGCCTGGGCCAGAGGCTAGCGGCCCAGCCCGGTGTCTCTTTACCCCTGGGCCACAGCTGTGGCGCCGGGCGTGCTGGAGCCTCGCCGCACTGGAACGAGCCGGGCTCGGGGGGCCAGGCAGAGGGCAGCGGCTTCCCAATCCCAACGCACATGTGCGGGCGCCCGGCACATGCTCGCTAGAGCCGCCCGGGGCGTTGGAGCATGAGCAGAAGCGAAGCGGGCGCATCAGACATCTTGGGCCGCTTTGCGCAGGGAGCCTGAGCGCCAAGGCAACAAGGAGCCGCCAGCCCCCCCCTTCCTTCCCCCTCCAGGGTGCCGCGCTGCGCGTCCGGCCCTTTGTGTGGCTGGCAGCCTCGGGGCTCGCTCCTCCTCCCCTGCCGGCCCGGGCTGCGCAGAGCATCGCCCCCCCGCCCCCCGCATTTATCTTAATTCGCCTCCGAGACAAGATGGCAACGCCGGCGGCTGTAAATCCTCCCGGTGAGTAGCGGCGGCTGCTGCCGCCCCCTGCCCTGCGGGACATCGGCGCCACCCCCTGCGGCCCCTCCGCCAGCGCCGCCTCCGCTCGCCGCGCACATACGCGGGGCAGGGGGGCCGGGCGCCGGGCCGGGAGAGGGACTCGGGGGATGGAGGCGAGCCTGGCCGCTGTCCCCGACCCCGAGTGCTACAGAGGCGCGGTGCCCCCCTTGCCTTACTAGGGAGAGGTGGGCGGGTTGTTCGCCTGGAGGGCAGCGGCCGAGCAGGGGTAGGGAAGAGATCGGCGTATTGTCATCTGGGGAGGAGTAACCACTAACCAGCCACCGGCAGGGGCGAATCCCAGGTCCCGAAGTTCAGCATCTCTCCCACGCCCCCTTCTCGCCGGGGATCCAACAGCTCAGGGCCAGTTTTCTGTGTGATCCCGTGTGGGCATCTTGGACCCCATTCACCGCTGGGTGTATCTCCAGTCACTTAATTGGAATAACACCAGGGACACATTTGGCTGTAGGTTTCCAGAGTTCTATATGCTTCCAAGGCCACTCCCCTGGATGGAGAAAGATCATTTATCTCTCTAGAACTGTAAAAGAGCTCGCTGTTGGTGGATAACAATGGTGGAAAGTTCAGGGATGTAACAGAGCCTGTTTCAGGCACAGAGCTATTTTCACCCCTTTAATTTTGATCCTAAAATAATATTGAGCCAGAGTGTTTCCTAGACCAGTAGTTCTCAACCTGTGGACCCCTGGAGGTCTCCAGACTATGCCTAAGATTTCCAAAGGGGTCCTTGCCTCCATTTGAAATGTTTTAGGGGTTCAAAAATAAAGGTTCCTATACAACACTGTGTACCTCTAAAGAAAATATTGTCAGTTTCCAGTAGCCCATGTACCTAGAGCTAACTCAGAATGCTTACACTGACTTTCTTGGGTAAATGGTGACAATTAAAATTCTACATAAACATGAACAATCAAATTGGGGGGAAAAGAGAAAATATGGGGTTATAAGCAGAAAATAGGTTTGAGTAATACAAAACGAGTGAATTTCATATGTGATGCAATGTAAGAGCAATACTGTGTGTTGTTGAATAGCCCTTCCTTAGCCATGCTATAGCTAAGGATATCAGAATTTCTACAGTTACACTTATATACATACACATGGGGGGGGGCTGCAACTTGGGAGGGTGAATGTATAACAGCTGTAAAACTTTTGCTTGGAGTCAAAATATTGAAGACATACATTTTGGCAATGTGTGTGGTGGGTGGTTTTTGTGTGAGGGTG